ATGGTGCTTGGTACTTCACTAAGCTTAATTTGTGATTTGGATACCACCAGATTTTGATGCGCACTAGTGATGTGGAAAAGGCAGAGTTTCGAACTCACGAGGGGCACTACGAGTTCTTGGTAATGCCCTTTGGCCTTACCAACACTCCGACCACTTTTCAAAGCTTGATGAATGATATATTCAAGCCTTATCTCAGGAAGTTTGTGTTGGTATTTTTCGATGATATTTTGATATATAGCAAGAGTTGGCAGGATCACTTACAACACTTGTAGGTGGTGTTAGAAGTCATAAGGGCAAACCAATTGTTTCTCAAGAAATCCAAATGCTCATTTAGACAGTTAAGTGTTGAATATTTAGGCCATATCATGTCTCACCAGGGGGTAGCAGCTAATCCTTCTAAGTTATCAGCCATTCATGAGTGGTCTACTCCTAAATCTGTCAAGGAGTTGCGAGGCTTCCTCGGGTTAACGGGGTATTACAAAAAATTTGTCCCAGGGTGGTAACATATGTCAACCTTTATATCAGTTGACCCGAAAAGACGACTTTCATTGGGGGTAAAGAAGCTGCACAAGCCTTTGCGACCTTGAAACCATCATGGTGTCCCCATAGGTATTGGTTCTTCCCAATTTTTCTCAACCCTTTGAATTGGAGTGTGATGCATCGGGAAGTGGCATTGGGGTTGTTCTTCAACAAGGAGGGAGACCCATAACATTCACTAGCCAAGCCCTTGGTCCTCGAAACCAAGCACTCTCCACTTATGAAAAAGAGTTAATTGCTATAGTGTATATAGTAAAAAAATGGCAAAATTACTTGCAATTGAGACATTTAGTCATACGAACATACCACAACAGCCTTAAATACTTTTTAAGTCAGAGAACAAGCACTCCATTCCAACAGAAGTGGGTTTCAAAACTTATGGGGTACAACTATGAGATTTAATACAAGCAAGGGTCTCAAAACATGGTGGCTGATGCACTGTCAAGGTTGCAGGATGCACCTTTATTACAGGAACATAACATGGAGACTCCTACGAACAGTGAATGTGTTGCTATCTCTTACCCTTATGCGAGTTGGATGGATGAGTTGAGAAGAAGTCGTGAAAACGATGAGTGGATTATGAAAAAGAAGAAAGAATTGATACAAGCGCAACATGATGGTTCTAGTAGTTTGAAAATGAGCCGATACTCCCTTGACAATGGGTTTCTTTGCTACAAGAAAAGAATTATGTTAGGACCTGCTTCTGAATAAAGATCTAAGATATTGCAAAATACCATTCAACCCTATTCGCAGGTCACCAATGAGTGCTCAAAACTTATCAAAGAATTAAGAAATGATTCTATTGGAAGGGAATTAAAAATGATATTCAAAAGTTCATAGCTAAATGTCTTACCTGCCAACAAAGCAAAGTTGAGAACATCTCACCCCCAGGGTTACTACAACCACTTCCAATACCCCAGAGAGTTTGGAGTGATATCAGTATGGACTTTATTGTGGGCCTACCTAACTACAAGGGCAAGACTGTGATTTGGGTGGTAGTGCACAGACTCTCTAAGTATACTCACTTTGTTCCAATGTCACATCCATACATTGCATCTTCTGTAGCACAACTCTTTATAGAACACATATTCAAGCTTCATGGAATGCCTAGTTCCATTGTGATTGATCGAGATTCAATCTTTTTAAGTGCTTTCTGGAGGGAACTTTTAAAGTTGTAGAATTCTAAGTTGTGTATGAGCTCAAGGTATCACCCTCAAAGTGATGGGCAATCAGAGGTGATGAACAGGTGCTTGGAGACTTACCTAAGGTGTTTTGTAGGAGGGTAGCCTAAGAAATGGTGTCAATGGTTACCATGGGCCGAGTAGTGCTTTAACACTTCCTTCCACACTTCCTCAAAACATACTCCTTTTGAGATAGTATATGGGTACCCTCTACCACAGGTAACTCCTTATGAGTCAGGCACTACAAAGGTAAGAGTTGTGGAACAGGGATAAGGTGTTATTAGTGTTGAAGAATAATTTGAGGTAGCATAGAATTGAATGAAGCAGTACAATGACAGAAAGAGAATTGAAAGGCATTTCAAAGTGGGAGAATTTGTTTATTTGAAGCTGGTGCCTTATCAGTTGCAAGCTTTAGCACCACATAGCTACCACAAGCTACAACCAAGGTACAATGGACCCTATGAAATTGTGGATAAGGTTGGATTGGTTGCCTACAAACTTAAGTTACCTACTGAAACCAAAATTCATCATGTCTTCCATGTAAGTTGCCTCAAAAGACATCTTGGATGAGCCATCACCCTAAAAATTAAACTGCCTCAGGTTACAGAAGATGGGTTGGTTCATAACATTCCCCAAGCAATACTTGCTAGAAGGATGTACAGGAAGGGTAAGGCTGCGAGAGTATAGTTACTAGTGCCGCCGACAAACATCATAAGCGTCGACAAATTAGGTGGATGAAACGACGTCGGATAAGGCACATGATAAAACCTAGACCAACAAGGTCTCAATCTGCAAATGGAGTGATGGCTATGGCTAATAGAGAGAGGAAGAGGAAGAGAAAGTTGAGAGAATATACTATTAATTTTCAAATTAATATCGTTACAACTAATTTGAAATGGCATATATCCTCGCGCCAGTACACGTTTTCCACACTACATGTATGCCAACTGGACAATTAACATACTAATCAAATGGATTCCCTTAAAGACCTAAGTTATCCCAATTGAGCCCAAATACAAAAGCCCCTTAAAATTTGGCCCAAATTCCCTTACATTATCTTATTCCTTCGATCTAACAACCCCTGCACGATTCATAACAGTACTTCTCCCTTCAAACAACCTTGTCCTCAAGGTTCAGAGTGGAAAATTTGGAAACTTGTTCTTGAACTCATCAAAGTCTCCCAAGTTGCATTGGCTTCATCATAAGCGTGGTGCCGTCGACAAACATCATAAGCGTGGTGCCGTCGACAGCAACGGTATCGAAAATAATCCGAACATTAGGAGGAGTATCAGGAACGAGTGCGAAAACAACACCAAAGCAAATAATGCAACGTCAAACAACAATTTAGGGAGGTTTGGAAGTGGGGGTGTCGGGTACACAAAGTTGTGTAACATTGTGGATTGCTTTCATGGGATATGTGAGCATGACTCAATTAGGTTCATGAGGCCAATGTTGCAGGCTAGTTTCTGCCTGCAACCTCCGGGTGACACCCCGACGAGGCGGTCCACATTCGACAGCATTGTGGCCGACTATATCCCCGTATTCTTTAAGGACTAGTCTACCAAAGCGCAGTACGGGCGGCACTTGCCGGAGGATCAATACGGAGAGTTCTCGGTGTTTATAGCGAAGGAGGGCATGGTGTTCAAGGAAACTAGGGTTTTGGATGTGCTTAGGAGCATTCCTAGGGCTAGAGTTAGGAGGATGAGGGAGAAGGCATTGGAGAAGATACCAAGAGTTATGTATAGAAGGCATGGGAGTTCAGTGGGATTGAGAGCTAAGAAGGATGCTTTTGATCTTGCAATTGATAGTGTTTTGAACAAGATTAAATCTAGGGTTCCAGTTCAACCTAGGGTTTTCCCTCAATGACCCACTTGAATTTTACTTTTTTTTTTTTAAAAAAAAAAATTCCTTTCTTGGCATTGAAGTTATTGTAATTATTGATTATGATGTACATATATTTAGTTATTATGCAAGTGTAGTGCCACTTGATTAAAGTTAAAACACTACGTTTGGATAAAGAAAATAAACTTAGAATTTTGTTAAAAGTCAGAATTTATAAATTGACATGCATCAATTCCTTCATTTGGATTCATAAATATAGAATAAAAAAAAGGGTAAATAGCCGAAATGGTTCCTGAGATTTGCATAACTCATCACTTTGGTCCCTAACATTTCAAATCAATCAAAGTGGTCCCTAAGATTGTCCACCATCCATTATTTTGGTCATTCCGTTAAAAACTCCGTTAAGTGTCCCGGACCTCTTGGCGGGAAGTTTAGGCAATTTTCAAAGCTTCGTAACTCAATCGTTTCTTAACCAAATTCGACCCATAATATATCCAAATGAAGATAGGAAAGTGTAGAATACGATTATACCTATTTAGAAGCCCAGTGGTTGCTGGAGATGGCTGGAAAATAGCCTCAAAGTTGACTGGTCCGAAGGAAAACTGGAAAACTCGCCAGAAACTGGGTAAACTGGGTAAACTTTAAACGTTCATAACTTCTTCAATACTGAACGAAAGCAAGTGATTCAAAAATGTTTAAAGTTATGAACGTTTAAAGTTTATACAGTTTCCGGCGAGTTTTCCAGTTTTCCCTCGGACCAGTCAACTTTGAGGCTATTTTCCGACCATCTCCGGTAATCATTGGGCTTCCAAATAGATATAATATTATTCTACACTTTCCTATCTTCATTTTGATTTATTATGGGTCGAATTTGGTTAAGAAACAATTGAGTTACAAAGCTTTGAAAATTGCCCAAACTTCCGGCCAAGAGCTCCGAGACACTTAACGGAGTTTTTAACGGAATGATCAAAATGATAGATGGTGGACAATCTCAGGGACCACTTTGATTGATTTGAAATGTTAGGAACCAAAGTGATGAATTATGCAAATCTCAATGACCATTTTGACTATTTACCCAAAAAAGAATCAGATTTTGGAACCTCAAATTCCTAAATTTAAATTCCATATAAATAGATGTCATTTTTAAATTTCTATGAGTGAGAGTTTAAAAATAAAAGATTCCATATTCAAATTCAATTATTTTTTTAAGTTAACCAAATAAGAAAATTCACAAATTCTAAAAAATAGAATTCTATCATTTCAAACTTTCTTAATAATCTTAAATTTCTTCATCCAAACAAAATGTTGAGAAAAATTTTCGTAAATTTGGATTTGGCCAAATCAACTAGAGCAGTGTGCTCCGCCGTTTGTGCCAAGTTCAAATCCCGACCCTTGGATGATTAAATTTCAAATTACGCTATTATCATATTGTTTGTCAAAAACAAAAGTTTTGAAAAATGCTCAATTCAAACATGAGATATAGAGTAGCTGTCTTCGTTGCAGCATTAGAATTGTTATTTTAGCCTTGGCTTGTGACTCAAGAAACAGAAAACAAATAAATTATTGGACCGACCAAAAACAATACAATCTTATTGAGGGTGCCAAAAACTAAAGAAAAACAAATGAAAGGGCGCTGATGGAGATTTGATGCAACAATACCTAATACATTTGGAACGTGATGCAAGAATTGCAAAACCGCACTTCATACGGCTAGGACGACGTTCGTGTTCTGTATTGGCAGGAGGCGAGGTTTCGAGTTTCAACCCCATCTGAAAATGGTAGAAGCCCAAGTCAGACCTGCTCCAAAACCGGCAGCTGCAATAGTATGGCCTGGTTTCACCTTCCCGCTTCTCACAGCTTCGTCCAATGCCAACGGTATGGAACCAGCGCTCGTGTTGCCATAGTTTGCCAAGTTTGAAATCACCTGTTCTGATGGGATTTGCAAGCGAGTAGAAACCGCATCAAGGATCCTCTGGTTTGCCTGCATTATTGATTTGTCTTATCAGAACAAAATGTACTACGTCACTTGTTTGTGAGGAAAACCTTAGGTCATTAAGAAGCTCCCTTGAAGTGCTATATTCGTTCAAACTTCCCATTACGAAGAAAATGAAAATGTAAGCATTATTTCTCAATAGTGTACCAGTTTAGTTCACTGGACATTTATGACAGGCTGGTATAGTTTTGGAAGTAAAAAATTATTAGGCTGAAGTTACTTGCGTATGTCTATTTTCCATGCCTACATATTTTCTGAAATTAAACGTAATGTGGGAAAGAAATTGTAGTTAAATGATAATCGGTAGCTATAATTGACGGTAGAGCAGAGAAATCGTTTAATCAGTAAAACCTGGGGTAAACTTTCCCAAAGATATCATTCGTCATACCTGATGGAGCAGTAACCAATCAATGCTAGATGCAGGGAGACCAGCCTTTGCAAGGGAATACTCAATTGACTGTGGCACAACACGCACAGCAAAGCGAAAGACCTCTTTACCATTCATTTGAAGGCAGGAATATGAAGCTTGTCTTGGAGGGAAGCCTAGGACTGAACCATTAGAACCCAACTCATCATCTGTTTCATTTTCTTTCAAGGCGGCATTTAGATGTCTGCAAAGAGAGTGATCGGTCAGTTTCAGAAAAATACTGTACTTGCTGAAAAGGTGCATAAAACAAACATAGAAATAGAGAAAACGCAAACCTGTATCCTTCACCATCACTATGCACATCAAAAGAAAGCAAACCATCATCCTCACCATCGCAGGCCTACACAGTTATGAAATTTCTGCTAAGTGCAATGAAATGTGCGGAATGAAATCTTTGCTAATAATTTATTCGATCCATTCTGGAAACGACAATATTAAGATAGTATGGTATGAGTTTCTGAAAAATGGAGACAAAATTAACTGCCAAATAAAGCAAAGTCCAAAGTTAGAAGCTGAGAGGGACTTCAATGCCGTTATATAGAAAACCAGTGCTTAGATATATGCCAAAAATTCATTATGCAACGTAAACACACCTGTATTAATACAGCCCCAGCAGCATCCCCGAAGAGAATACACGTTCCTCTATCGGTCCAGTCAACAATCCGGGAAAGAGCATCAGCCCCAATAACAAGAACATTTTTAAATCCACCAGCTGCAGTTTGCACAATATAGTTTAATCAATTAAACATGGGAAATAACAGCGGGCATCCTTAGAGCAAAGTAAACCAAGTCGTTACCCTTAATGTGACAATACGCTGATACTAGACCCAAAATAAATCCACTACAAGCAGCTGTAATATCATACGCTAAAGGATTCCTTGCGCAGCCGAGTGCTTTCTGAACCTGAAATTACAATATAATACAGATTGAAAAAATGTAAGCATTTACTGTATTAATTAAACAACATAAGCACTAAGAGTTTGAATTTTTGCTCAAGCATTCATTAAATTGAGAAGCTCAACAACATCAATATTTAGCTCCACTTGCACTACACAGGGGTTTCTAACATGCAAAATAGAGTAACACTCAGTTGTTCGTTCTATATCACGTGTGAATCGTGATCAATATAGTCCAGTATAGTTCACGTGGTTGGTCAAAGTTCGTGCCATGGAAAAAGCATAAAACTATATAAGCACAACAAACTTAATCAATAAAATAACCTACTAGGAATATAAAGAAGAGACCTTAAAAAGCTACAGTTTTTAAAAGTCAGCCAGTGGTAGTTCGACCAAATACTGAACAAACCGAAAAAAGCATGTCACATCTAGTACAAAACTCCAGTCCAGTCAAGATGAATCGCGCTAATGGGAACTCTTCTAAAGTTCTCAGACATAGATGCCCACAAGGATACAAGAATCTACTTCTGTCTGAAATAGAACCCCTTTATAAATTAATGAAACTTGCAACGATCTGTTACTTTTTATTTTTCTTCTACATAACAAATAAATACACACCTAGATAGATGAAATTTTGTTCATCACCTAAAGATTTATAAGCCCCTAAAAACATGGAGAATAAAATATAATAAGAATCAATATTGGCAAAACAATCATATAATGCACACCACTGAAGCTCAATCCCTTTTTTTTTTTTAAATCCTGACGACTTAATCCACATACCACCCAATAATCTACATACCTTCGGGGCACAGCCAAAGACATCATCAGGCGTAGATGTGCACACCAAGATTAGGTCCACATCATCAACATCAACCTGTGCCATCTCAAGAGCTTTATGCGCTGCCTCGACCGCTAACGTTGTCAGGCTCTCTTTGCCTATAATTTTACAAGAATGTCATTATATAGAAGGGGTAACATAAAATATTCACTAGACCTAAAAATGAGGACGAGAAAAGAGACACATATTTGACTAAAATCAGTGTTCAGATAAAAGGTAAAAGCATTCAAATATCCACTACAACATAGGAAAGTCCCTCTTAGGCTCTTACACATCTTACACTACCAGCATTAATCAGGTCAAAGCTCGCCATATGCTTATAGTTTCAGTTGTCCGAATAGAAAGGTGAAGCCATAGTACTATGTAACACATTTTGTTCAATAGCGACAGAAAGAAGGTCATACAAGCCGCTATCTGGCGAACCTCGTCCTAGGCAAGATTCAAATCGTCAACCTGAGAGGTTCAACAGATTGTTTCCTCTTGTAATGCAGTGCATATGCACCGCAAGTATGAGACTATGAAGCTGAATTTCCCAAGTTAAACTCATAGCATGCAATTTAAAAAAAAAGAGGCTCGACACAGGCTAAGCTACCTCAAACTGTTTACCAAATTTATGACATTATCATGCACAGAAAAGTATGACCTGACCTGAAATAACTCGTCGATTACGAATCCCAGTGCGAACAGATATCCATTCATCGTTAGTATCTACTACTTTCGCAAGATCGTCATTTGAAATCTTAAGACTGGGTACTGCTGAGCCGCATCCAATTAACTTGCAGCCTTTACTGACAAGCCTGAAATAAAATAGAAATTATTTAAGATCAAACAGATAATCATTTACCAGCTTGTATTCATACCCCCCCCCCCCCCATTTAACCAAAATGCAATCTCAGTACTGACAGTGGCTCTGGGCAAAGGCACTCTGTTTATTACATAAAACACATAGCAGTGGCCACGGTCCAACCTGGGATAGCTTTAACCAAGAACAATTAGAATTAGATGCAGGAGACAATTTTAAAAGATCCGTCCAAAGCCATGGGCCACTAGTAGGAATTAAATTTTAGAGTTTACAAAAGCAGAAATAAACAACCAATTCATTCAAGACAAAGATCAATAGCACACTAGGCATTCAATAAAGGAATTTGGTAATTTGGTCATGTTCTACATTTAGCACCCTTTACCAAGCCATTAAAGAAGATAGCTACAGAGCGCAAAGACAATCCAAATGCAAGAAAAGGAAAAAAAAAACCTTCATTTGATAAACAAATTTTTTTTCTGGGGTTCATAAGATAACCAGACGACAATAGGCAAGAAAAAGTTAGTGGTAAACTGATAAGATAAACTTTTAGTTTTGTTCATGATTATCGCCTTTATTTCCCTTCCATCATCCAAAACATTCTCTTATTTTAAGTGGGAAAGAGAGCAGACAGATGGCGAAGCCATCGGAAGAACAGTGATACAAGCAACCTTTAAAAACCAATACAAAACCTCATCTAGAAGTATCATCAAAAGGAAATCTAATATTTTTGCCAAGTACTGATTCACCTAAGCTCATGCCTGTAATCCGACTTACATCAATGAAAACGCTTCTAACCTAGTTGCATCCTCTAGTTAGTCCTAAAATTGATTTGTTAGACAGTTACCTTACTGTGCCATAATCATCTATGTATATGTATACTTCCCCAAATTTTAGCTTTAAATTGATTGTAGTTACTAAAAAGTCGGCTTGATTTTGGAATCGGTTGTAGCTGGCTTCGTTGCTTAAGCCTTGTAAATCCTACTGCAATGGAGATGAATAAGATCATCCAATTTCAAATCCTCAGTGATAATATATCCTAACCAAAATTTAAAAACTTTGTGCAGCACAAGTTTACACATGGGAATTTATTCCCCATCCCTTTCATACAGAAAATGGCTATGCATTGGCATGCTATAGCCAACCATAACTCGAATCCTACTTATCGAAACAAATCTAGCATATACAAGTAAAACCAGAAAGCTAAGAACTTTATGACTAAATGCAAATCATGAAGCTTTCCAACAAAGATAATAAATCAAATGCAAAATCCAACATACAAAACAATGAGGGGCAATATCACTAAAAAGAATTAAAAAATGGAGATTGAACTCACTTGGGTGATCGAGATTCAGATGCAGAAGCTCCAACATGCTTCTCTGCGCCTTCAAAAGTGCTGGAGCAGAATACCCTCTTGGAGATTCCCTCAGGGAAAGGAAACCCAGATCCAAAAATGCGTATTGAATGCTGAATCTTCCTCCTCTGGCTAGGAACTGTAGGAGCAGTGAAGAACCCAGATGCATTGGTGGCCATTTATTTAAACCCACAAAGCAAAATTTCAGACCCACAAAAAAAATATGCAGAGCCGGAGAGAGATTGAATTCAGCTAATATATGAGAACCAGAAGACAGCCATTTATTTAAACCCACAAAGCAAAATTTCAGACCCACAAAAAAAATATGCAGAGCCGAAGAGAGATTGAATTCAGCTAATATATGAGAACCAGAAGACAGAGAGGAAAAGATCAACAACTATGGCGGAGAGACAGAGAGACAGTGGTATCAGAAGACTGGCCCTTCTTTCTTCGGAGGGTCACCTACACAAAATAGAAAACTAAAAATCAGGATGAGGAATACAACAACAACAACAAAGCCTTTTCCCACTAAAAATCAGGATGAGGAATAAATAAATAAATATATGGGGAGTTAACTGTGAGAATTGGATCTTTGAGATGCTAAAGTGAAAGATTTTACAAACTTGAGTGACCGAATTGCAGAAAATGGAGCCTGTAAAGTTTGACAGAACTGAAGTGGAAGGAAAACCAACTTAAAGAGAGAAGAGAGAGGTTTAGTGGACGAATTTATACTCAGAACCTCAAGGATCCAACTAGGGGTGGGCACGGGCTGGGCCTGGCATTACAGTTTTCAACATGGGAACCGGACCTTACCTGGCCCGGTTGAAACGGGCCGGTTCGGGCCGGGTCCACGGGGCGTTGTTTATTTTTATTTTTTGGTTATAGTTCTATTTATAAATGACAGATACAATTAACTCTAAGGCTAGGGAACTACTGCACATCAGCACAGATTGAAGAAAAAAACACAGCAGCACAGCAGCTGCACAGATTGAAGAAAAAAAAAAACTGATGTTTTACAGCAACTGCACAGCAGCACAAATTGAAGAAAATATAAAATAAAAAAAACAGCAGCTGCACAGATGATTAATTTGCTTATAAAAGAACCCATATTACTAATTATGTATTCACCACAACTCAAGTTTCATCCCCTCTATCCTCTAAATTTCACCACTCCATCCCTTGAGTTTTTGCATTTGATAGAAAACAATGGGTTCCAGTTTTGCACAAATTACTTTACCACCTAAATCAGAAGACATCTGAACCAGGAATCATACTCGAATAAATTCATTAATTCGATTATTACTACTCTTTCAAGAAAATACACAAATTCTAATAATTTTTGGAATCAAACGAATACAAAAAATTAATTTTCGGAATCGAATTGACCAATATCGATTAAAATCCACAATACCTATTAAAATCTACCAAAATTTAAACCAACCCAATACAAATTTGTAATTAAAAAAAAACAAATTTATCTCATAAAATAAAAAAGCTCGTCAATTGAAATAAAAAAAAAAGGAAAGGAGGTACTTGGAGTCTGGAGATACTTGAGCAGTTGAGCTTATAATGCTTCCGTATACGAGTCCAAAGGAAAGGAGAATGCGGAAGCCCGAGCCAGCTGCAAAATCCCGAAGAACCCAGATCACCAATTAGATAAACAATTACCAAATTGGTCCAAAATTCACACACTTAACAATTCTTCCCCAAAATACATACTAAATAAAAAGAATTAGTTAGATCCGGAACAAAAAGAACACAAAAAATAGAAGAATTCAGCAAACAGTAACGAATTCACCTGAACTGGCGGCGGCGATGGAGTGTTGGTGGTCGCGACGGCGGTGATGTCGTTGGGGAGGAGAGAAGGAGAATCGAGAAGATGGGTGGTGCCGGACCGCGGGTGACTGGGTTCTCTAGGTCTGGGTAGGATGTCCGATGTCGTCGAGGAGAAGAATCGAAGAATAATCGATCAGAGAGGAGAGACAGTTGAGTGACTTGAGTCACAGACGGCAGAGCGTGACGGCGAGAGACGGAGAGAGTCGAAGACGGAAGAGCGGAAGAACCGAAGAAGACAGATTCAGAAAAGTCGAAGTCGATCAAAAAGAGGAGAGAGAATAGACTAGGTAAAATCAAAAACTAACGAAAATACTTAGAAAATTTGAGTTTGAATGATAAGGATAAAATAAATAGTAAAGTAAATAGTATCAGGTTTAACATTTTAAGGGAGTGTATTCAATTGGGATTGTGAGGGATTTTAATTCTTTTAATGAATTTAGGGGTATTCAATCAGGAATTTAAATGATTCTCTGAAATTCAAGATGTATTCAATTAGAATTTTAAGATAGTTTATTAATATCCTTAGAAATCCGGGTGTATTTAATTAGGATTTTAGAGAAGTTTATAACATTTTAGGTGTATTCAATTAGAAATTGATTTTAAAGAATTTGAGAACGTTGAGGAATTAGAGGGAATTTGAGAGATTTCGTGTATTTTAAGCATCCACAAATCTCACATCTTCCCATGAGATTTCGAGGGAATTGAATCAAAATTTTATATGGAATCTCTACAAATCAATTAAACTCCATAACAATCCATGGATTTATAAATCTATTAAAGTCTCTCAAATTCTCAATTGAATACACCCCCTTAGTGTAAAAATGTGGTTTTTCGTTAGAGTAAACAGTACCGCAGGCTTTTCGTTAAAACTCCCTAAAATCAACGGTGAAGATTGGATGTTAGGTTCCTTTTCAATCTCGTCTATCCATTTGGTCTAAAAACGAGCCGGTTTGGGCCCCGTTTTTCTATACTTCTGGACCCGACTTGCCCCTAAAATATCAAAGACCCGACCCAGTCCGTCCTGTTTCCCTATTAAACAATTGGAACCGGCCCAGACCCATCCCGAACCTTAATTACCCATTCCGACCCGCGGTTCCGGTACCCATTTGCCCATTCCTAGATCGAACCATATAATCCACACTTTATTACAGCAAAAGCTGAAAGCCATCTAGGTTTTCTTCAAAACTTAAAGCAGTTCAATAGCAACTGAGATATGCCCTTCTTCTTCTTCAGCTCAGATCTGTAAGTTTCATGCTTTTCTCTTTCACTCACTTTTTTAAGCTTTATTAGTAGTTTCTTGGATTGGGTTAATGGGGTTCCCGTTTCTTGCTGGTCGTGTTTGGTTGGTGAGAAAATGTAGGAACAGAAAATTAACCCCAAAGTTTCTTCCTTTTTACCCTTTCATAGATTGTGTTTTAGTACTTGTTACTGCAAACCAATAAAAGCTGAAATTGTTGAAGTATTAATAGGGGTGGTTCGGTATGGGATACCGAACCAAAACCTTAGTCCCGATTTCCAAACCAAAATTCTCGGTATTCTCAATTTCAAGAGATCCCAAACCAAATTTTCAGAAATCCCAATTTTCAGGAATCCCAAAATAGTTTCGATATTTTGAGACAATCGGGAATCCTGAAATATTTTTAGGCTTTTCGACGGTGCAGAATAGCAGCAAAGCGCCACTTACTAGAAGACCCAATCAAAGAAAACAGGAACTGACATAACATATAGGATGACCCAATCAAAGAAAATAATTGTTCTGAAATGGAATATGCCACATGAAATGCAACTTTGTAAGGATTGTGAAAGCAGCAAAGCGCCACCTGCTAGAGGAATGACAACTTCATTGTATTAGTGTAGTCTTATTCCATCCCCAACACAATTGACCCATAGACTTCAAATTTTAAACCTTTGTTGACAAGCAACCACTTATAACTCAAGAGGCTTAAATACAGAAGGTTCACAAGGAACAATAAGTACAAACCATACAATATTTGACAACTCTGCCAACATCTTGTACAACATTCTGAAAGTTCAGGTCACTCTTTTCTAGTCTAGCCTGTTGGCATCACAAATGTGGGAGACAAACAATTCTAATCCATATGCCTGTGTCAATGTTTCCTGATTACTTTATCCCATGCAAATAGTTCTAATCCATAAGTTCTAAATAAGAACAGACATTGAACTTAAGTTAAAAGAACAGAATATATAAGTTCCTGATTATTTTATCCCACGCAAACAGTTCTAATCCATAAGTTCCTGATTACTTTATCCCAAGCAATGTACAAAATATATTACGACTAGGTTAAAAGAACAAACATCTAACTTAAGTTAAAAGAACAGTTGTAAACAATTTCTTCATTGCCAACTAATCATGGGGTTTCAAGCATTTGGTAAATAAAACTCATCTGAGAAATTTACCTGTTGGTAAATAAAACTCCAACACAAAAGCTGCAGAAGCAAAGCAAAAGAGGGACCTTCACCAAAAACCAAGAACCATTAGATCAATTAAATAGAATATGTGAAACCAAACAAACCTTAATCTAGACTTTGAAAATTAAATTTCAAAAACCCTAAAATTACAAACCCTAATCTAGAATTCGTAAATTAAATTTCACAAACCCTAAATTAATTCCCATATTTATTTACCTGTGTCTGAATCTGAGAAAGAGAATCGCGTGAGAGAGTCGAGACTCCTGAAAGAGAGAATTGCGAGAGAGAGTCGCGATAGAGAGAATCGCAAGAGAGATACCAATGGTGGCTGTGGCTCTATGTCGTGAAGGAAGGGTCCACCGTCGGAGAAAGACAGCGATGGATGATCCGTATGGTGGTGGGTCGGTGACTGGCTAGGCGAAGTTGGATTTAAGACAGAGAAGAAGAGGAGAGGGCTCTCTCGGTGGCTGAGGCGCTGAGATGAGAGACTGAAGAGAAATGAAATTGAAAGTTCGAAATGACACTCGAGTCCTCGATAGGGAGAAAGCCTAACAAGGAATGCACATCATAGATTAATTTGAAACAATCCAATGATTCAAATTAACTCTAACTATAATTAAAAAATAATATATATTATTATCTGTGTGTGTGTATATATATATACAGGCCTTGACACACCCCGACCCAGAGGATCAAGGCGTGTTGGCCGTCACGTGAGCGTGACGTAACCAAAAGTACGACACGGAAGCAAGATATAACAGAAAATGAAGGAATTCAAACCAATCTCTAGTAAAAACCACCTACTAGAATAAAAGGATGAGTTATAAGGTAAACACATAAATTCAGAGCATAGGTTTAAGTGCAGTCAAGTAGGACCAAAATAAAATACATCACTCACAGGTGAGTCCTACATGCAGAACGTCTGTCAGGATGCCGAAAAAGACCTCGAGAGCCACCAACCGCTAACTAGAACCTGGAGGGGAGCAAAACAAAGATGAGTGGGTCAGTAAAATCAAAGATTTTCCGAAACATTTCTAACCCCTCATCGTAAAACCTGTATACTTTCCCAGAAAAATAATATATAAACATATATATAGACATATCATCAAAACTCAGCTCATATCCATCAACATAACATCTCAGAAATAATATGCCACGCCATGCCAAATATAGTCAGAAATGCATCAATATCAATCAGGTGAAATAATAAATCAACCGGAGACCCTACAATGGTCCTGTACGGCTGATTCTAAAGTTCAACATCCCACTCAGCCGGAGTCACCACAGTGACCTATACGGCCCTGCCGGAGTCACCAACTGTGACCTGTACGGCACTACACTGCACATCACTCGGAACTACGTATAGTAGTCTGTACGATGAAAGGTGTATAAATACGCTCTAGTGCTTCTCTCATCAATCATCAGCGCGCATAACTAAGGTCACCCACTAGTCGGAATCACATCTAGTGATCTATACGACTAGCATTCGGAACCCTCACATGGTCTGTACGACATCCACCTACTTGGATCCAAGACGAGCGTGCGGTGTGGTGAATAATAATATAAGCACTAACACCTAGGGTGCAGGTTATGAGCTTTCAATGCAATTCTCATAAAATAACTCATCTGAATAATATAAAAACTCACATGTGCATCCACCGCGTCAATTAACATATATATGCATCAATTATCAAACTAAATATCTCAACATTTGCATGCATGGTAATTTAAATCATAATTTTCATATAAACGCATTTTCTGGGAAAAACAGTTGTATATAGGTAATACGAAAACAAAACTGCCCACCCACTGATAAGTCGATGGGTCGTAACCCCCGTGACGTCCCTGGATGCGCTCGTCCTCGGGATAAGTGTCACCGGAAAAATCCAAGCAAAACCGGCCAAACTCGACCCTCGTGATCCCGACGTCCAAATCCTTCAAACGAAGCACTCCGAGCTTCCTTGGGACCTCACTAAGCTCACTATAAGCTTAGAATTTCCTGAAACACAACATTTCACGTGTGCATGAACAGTGACCAAAAATGGGGGGTTCGGGTTCACGCTATTTCGAAGGTTTCCCTTCCTAAAACTAGTACCAATCAACTCAAAACATCAAGAGGATGAAGAATCTTACCTTGGTTGCTTCGATCCACTGTGTTTTGGGTGGTTTGTTCTTCGTCCGTACGTATATGGTGAGAGAGAGAGAGCAGGGGATCGTGAGGAAGGAGAGAGAGAGAGCTACGGGAAGGGAGAGAGAGCAGGGAGTGTGAGGTGTGGTCCACTCTAATCCACACCATCCATCCAATTCCCTAACCACATAATTCCAAAACTAAATTTTTTTTCCCCAAAACTTATAATAATTTAAACCAAATAACGTTACACACACAAACCTTAGCAACGACAAGGGTAGTATTTTCATTTCACGCTCCCGATATAAAAATCCCGGGACGGGCTGTGACAGGCCCCTTAAAGGAAGAGATCTTCATTTAAAAAAAAAAATGGGGACACCCTATTGACCGTTAGATTTGGCTTTAATGAAATTATATGGTTGAGATTAAATTAGAGGCCACAGAATTTCATTAAAGCTAAATCTAACGGTCAAGAGGGTGTCTCTATTTTTTTTTTGAAAAATGGGGATCCCTTCCCTTAAGGGCTTCCTATATATATAATTAAAAATATATATTTTTGGTTCGGTATGGGAATACCAAAATATTGGGAATACAATCCCGATTCCCATACCGAAATTTTGGTATTTTTTCAAGATAGCATACCGAAAATTTTGGGAAAATCGATTTGAGATCGGTATTTTTTCCGTTTGGTTTGGAATTTTTAGGAATTTTTTTCACCCCTAAG